AAAAAAAAAAAAACGTCCTTCCGAAGCGGGCAACGGGATTTCAATTCCGATGACCGACAGCTTCTTACGGACAAACCCCACACCAAAAATAGTGCCGACAGTCCATCTGTTCAACTTGGATTTGAAGTCGTCAAACAATGGCCAAGGAAAGTTCTTTGTAAGAATATCTGCTAATTGGCTATTGGATGGGACAAACAAAATACAAATATTTCCTGAATCGAGCTTCTCCTTATTAAAGTGTCTGTTAATCTCTACATGCTTGGTGCGATCATGCTGGACCAGATTATAGGCAATGCTAATGTTAGTTTTATTATCACAGAATAGTTGGAGAGGAGCATAGACCGACATATGTAATTCATGAAGCATTATGCATTAACCAGAATAATAGAGCTTCACAGATACCCAAGGTCATGAAGCGAAACTCGACTTCAGCACTACTCCGAGCCACAACTAACGGTTTTTTTACTTTTTCACATGACAAGATTTTTCCATACTAATGAACAATATCCTAAGGTAGATCGTCGATCTCATGGACAGACCCAATCTGCGTCCATATAAATAGTAATAGAATGAAATGTGTGGCGCGAAAAACACAGACATGAGCCCGCTGTGCCTTTTAAGTAGTGAAGGATAATGTGGGCATCTTGGAAATGGTGCTCATATGAATCATGCATGAATTGACTCACAATATTTACCGCACGACAAATGTCAGTTCGAGTATGGAATGAGTTTCCCCACAAGGGTTTGGTAATGGGTCTTGTTCACCAGAATCACATTATGAACATCAACAAACTTCTCATTGGTATCCATTGGGACCAGCACTAGTTTGCAAATGAGAAGATTATTCTCTGTCAATAAATCAAGCACATATTTGCGCTGAGATAGACTAATGGCCCGAGATGACCAAAGAACTTCCATGCCTAAGAAGTATAGGAGTGAACCCAGGTCTTTCATTCAAATGAAGTAGTAAGAATGCATTTTAGAGACTTCAATGTTGGTAGATCATCACCTGTGAGTACAATATCGTCTACATAGAAAATAAAAATAGCAATTTTGCCACTGAATGAATGTTGAAAGAAGATAGTATGACCTGACTGGGCCTGAGAAAAATCATGACCCATTATCACCTTTGTGAACTTGTCGAATAAGACCCTTGGGATTGCTTCACTTCATAGAAGGACTTTCGCAGTCAGCACACTTATTCTGGGAGACAGTAGAGTCAAAGCCTGTAGGGAGGCAAATGTACACCTTCTCTGTGATATCCTCATTTAGGAAAGCTTTTTTAACATCCAATTGGAGCAATGACCAATCTAAATTCACAACAAGGGAAAGTAAGACCTAAATGGTATTTAATTTAGCAAACAGAGCAAAGGTCTCCTCATAATCAACTTTGTAGGTTTATGAGTAGCATTTGGCAACTAATCATGTCTTGTTGCATTCTAAGGATCCATCAGAGTTAAACTTGGTGCTTACCTGGACGAAGTTTCACAACATCTCATATATGATTCCATTGAAGGGCATTCATTTCATCAATTACTACATCTTTCTAGGAAGGGTCAGCTAATGTTGCTTCAATAGTAGATAGCAGGTGATGATATATTGGGGCAGTAACAAATGCTTTATAGGTCGGCGATACAATGCAGAAAGAGATATATTTTTTCATGGAATAAAGAGAGTTTTTCTGATTACATACCTCAACATGAGAACTTGCATTCTCATTCGAAGTGGTGTCAGTTCTAGGGATGTCACTCAGGGTGGATTCCAGGTCCTGTAAAGAGGATGTAGGCTCCAATGTGGGAACATGAGTGAGTATAGACACCAAGAATGTGAGTAGGTTTTTGTTGTTTGGTAGGTGACGGATCCATAGGTACAAAGGGCTCCCCGAATATAGTGGTCTGAGAAATATCCATTGGGGTCAGATGAGGAATAGTGTCTAAAAAATCTAGCCCCCCTTGAGGCAGTCATATGGAAGTAGAGAACACTTTCAATGAAGGAGACATCGACACTTACATAAAGTGTATATGTGATAAGATCAAGATGTCGATAGTTTTTTTGAGTGGCGTAATATTCGAAGAAAACATTTTATAGATCTGAGATCAAGCTTAATATGAATAGGGGTAGTGTTCCGAATAAATGTCGTTCACCCAAAAATTTTGGGTTCAAAAATAGCGAAGAACTGGTTGTTAGGGAAACATTACATCAAGGTGACTAATGGAATTATAAAGTTATTAATTTTTTAGGGAATTCTATTAGTGAGATAGGTGGCAATAAGCACTTCATCATTCTAAAACTATTTTAGGACATTAGATTGAAACATAATAAAGCAAGCTATGTCGATAAGATGCCAGCTTTTTATATCGGCTACTCTATTTTGTTAAGGAGTGTCTGTACACAAGCTATGATGTAGGATGCTCTTACTTACCAAAAACTCATCTAAAATAGAGTTAAAAATTCACGATCATTTTTGATTCGAAGGACTTGAATTAAAGTTTTGAAATGGGTTAAAATGAATGAGTGAAAGCTTTTAAGGTAACAACAACTTGATATTTATATATATTTTATGATATAGACACGCGTCATTTGAGTGCGGTTATGAATTAAACTAAGGACCGTCGTTTATTAGTGTGACTGGAAGTGCAAGTGGATCCCCACAAGTCACTGTGAATAAGAAAAAAAGGGAGCGGAAGGTGTATAAGGATGTGATGAATAAGGAACATGATGATGTTTAGCAAATTGACAGATCTCATATTTGAATTTAGCAAAAAAAAAATCATAAATATCGATATATACAATTATTTTAAATACTGAAATCTAGGATGACCCAAACGATAATGCATCAACATAATAGACACTTAGTAGATCGAGAAAAAACTGAACTACTTGGAGAAGTGTCCTCGTTCTCCATGCTTTTCTCTTGGAAGAAGTAAAGCCCAGGTACTCTTCCCGAACGACCATTCTGACAAACATAAAAAAAAAATTAGCAATGCAATTCATGTCATGTGTCTACTTACTAACAGATCATAGGTTACACTTTAGTAGGGGGACATATAACATAGATTCTAGAATTAGACCGGTTGTTAACATAACCATCAATAATTTTAATTGTATCTTTCCTAAAGCATGGATAATATGTTGAAAAAGCTTGAGAGCATCCAGTCGTGTAGTTCGTTGCACCTGAATCAATGATCCATTAACTAAAAAAAGAAATGAGTGTCATATGAGTGATACCTTGACGGATGTGGGAGGTTGACACGTTGGAAGTGAACTGATTGGATCCAAGCAGCTTGATTAATTGTTTCATCTAACTCTAAAGAGTTGGGAGCTCTGGAGTGCTCCGAGTGGGAGCTGGTTGTACCGTAGTAGATTCAGATGTCGCAGTGAGGCCCTTGGCAAAGGAATATTTGATTGAATAGAATTTTGTTTTGTATGCTAATTTCCCATGGAGTTTCCAATACTTTTCTCAAGTATGGCTAGATTTGTGACAATAATCACAAGTGGACCCATTGGCTTGATGAGGGTTTGATGAGTGTTGTATATTATTAGCGACCAATGCAGATGATTGAATTGAAATAGAAATGTTGAGCATGACATTTTTCTAGCTTTCTTTGAGTTAAATTTCTGTGAAAGCATCATGAGCTGAAGGAAGGGGATCCCGGCCAAGGATATGACCCCGAACTTCATCAAGATGTTTGTTAAGGCCAATCAGAAAATTGGAACATGCGATCTTTTTCTACAATTTTCTAAAGGAAGGAAAGATTATCAGAGATTTTCACATGTAATCATAGTAAAGATCACATTCCATCCATAACACACAAAATATTCTAGTACTAGGTCATGATTCTTGATCCCTGCTTTGCCCCGCCGATCTTCTTGGAAACCTCATAAAGTTTGTTGAAGTTCCCTACATCTGAGTAGGTATCCTGAACTACTGTCCATAGGGCACCGACCCTGGCAGAAGGGGAAAACATATATGAACGTTCAATTGCAGTCTCCATGGAGCTATAGCCCATGGAATTTTTACACCGCCGGGAGAAAGCTCAGTGGTGGAATAGTCTGTCATGATTCCAACTGAGTGAAACGTGTTGTTGGCTTGTTGAAACATAGGCAGATCCTGGAAGCTGGACAGGGGAAGAACCGAAGACTAGAAAGTCCTCTAGAAATTGGAGAAAAATTAGTCAATGGCAAGGATTTCCAGTTGCTGGAAATAGATGCCAGCAAGCCAAGTGGCAGTCTCAGGGAGGCAGCTTTGAGATCTGACAGTTGGTGGCTCATTGGAAGGCTGGCTGTGAGGGTAGGGATGTTGGCGTTGAGATCTGGCAGTGGGGAGGAAAAAAACAGTGAGAATCTGTATGGGTCGATGACATAAATCCTACAAGGAAGAACCTGCAGGTGACCGATGGCTATGGTAGAGGCTTTAGGGTTAGAACTATGACATTTATATCATGTGAAATTTTGATAATAGAGCTGCATACTTTCATTGATAGGAAAATGGATATTAATACATATTACAAGAACCAAACAAAATGAAAGACAAATTCAGAAATAGGCAAACTAGAAAATACACAAATATGGAAACAAAAAATAAAGGAGGCAAATAAAAGCTAATAATAGCTGCAACAGTATTTAGCCTAATAATTATGCAAATAATTAGGCTAATATTCTGCCATAATTAGTTATTGTTCGGTTTAGCTGGAAATACTTAGTTATTGAATCAGATTCAGCTGTCTTAATTGATTTTATCTCTAAGTAGAGGAAATCTATTTGGGCTTTAATGGCTTGTTTCAATCGTATTTGGAATGCATTGACACTCATATGTTTTCTATCAATCTGGTTTTATTTATAGGGAAGGGAACTCTCCTGCAGATTGGTTGGCCAAGAGAGGTCATTTGGGTATGAATTTTGGCATCTCCCCTCCCAAAATACTTGTTGTGTTACTCGTCGGAGATCTTTTCTGAGTTCCTCACATTCGTCGGTAATCTTCTCTGCATCCTAATGCTACAGCTCCACCTTTATGTCGTTTTCTCTTTTGGTTACGGTTTCGTGCATTTGGTTTGGGATGGGACATTTTGTTTTAGCTGTCGGACTATGGTTTTTATTGAGGTTGTTTTGTGCCATCTTTGGAGGTGTTGCTGCTCCTCTTTGATCCACTCCAGCCTACCTGCATCATTCACTCTTTTATCCCTTAACAAACATAGTTTTCTGGTATATTTTTTGTTGGTATCTATGTTTTCTCTTTGGGTTTACTTGTCATTTTTTGGAGATTTTTTCCTTGCGTGGAGTTGTATTTTGGGAGGCGAAACCCCCTTGAATGCGGGGTTTCACCTCATACTTTTTGTAACTCTTTTTTATTTTAATATATATGGAGCCCTATAATGCTCCTTCCTTAATATATATATATATATATATATATATAATAGATGTATATATATATATATAACTTCTTTTTGTTAGTTATTCTCGTTAATTGAAGAAGACAAGATCAAAAGTTGCTATAAAGTTAACGAACCTAGCTAACCTTTTTGCCTAAATTTATCGGGTATAATATGCGCTCCACTCTCCTCCCATAACCTCCCAAAAAGGAGAAGATTAGACATTGTCACCAACACATTTTCTCAAACTCTGGCCATTAAATGACTGAAAAGGGCCACATTTCAGTTTGTCCACATTTGAAAAGAAGGCGTTCAATCTAAATTGTTCTCATTAAAAAGCAAGCAAGTTTATTCTTAGGAAAATTACAAATCTATCCAACTTCCTATATTGATGGTGAAACAAATTACAAATCATTCTTCTTTTCTCTATCAATATTTGATTCCAACTTTAAGCAAGTGGGATCTTTATTAACTATGCTCTCTCTCTCTCTCTCTTGCAATCATATTTTTATTTTTTTGTGATGAGTAAAACATTAGACTTTTTGATTAATCATGATTCGATGGGGACATAATAATTGAAAAACCCCCTGGATTTAAAAATCAGAAAACTTTGCATCTTGCAAAACTTTCATTTTTCTGCATAAAATTGTTAAAAAGGTGATATAATTCCAAGAAATTGGTGGGATTTCATGTCGGCACCAACATAGGTTGTTATGCTCATTGGAGTGCTTGAGTTATGGTGTAGGTCTTGAGAGTTGAGGGTGTCACCATATGGCTTGTTGGAGTACTTTATTATATCTTATAGTGATGGCTGCAAAGCAAATATTGATGCAATCATCATGGGAGAAAATTATGATTTTTTTTTTCTAAATTGGGACAACATAATAAAATTTGATTTATATTTTTTTAACTTACTTTTACATTGCACTTATGGCAAGCATGTGCACTTGATCTTCCCTTGGACTTAGTCCTTTCGGTATTGTTAATGAAAAAATGCTTCAAAAGTCTTGTAGAGGAATATTACATCACATTCAAGGGCTACGAAATTAGCCTTGATGTGCTAAAAACAACTTGTCTATATACTCATGGTATTAAAATGACATTCACAACTTGTCTATATACTCATAGTACTAAAATGACTTTCACAACTTGAAAAATTTATTTAAATTACCCGGATTAGAATATATTTATAATGCAAGCTTACACATCCCAATTATTCAAAAATACTTTGAAGTTATCAAAATGAATTGTGTGATTGAAATGAGACTAGGGGATGACTTCAAAGATTGACCTGACACACAAACTTGACTTGAACCCAACTCAAAAAATTTAGATTCAAGTTGAATTGAATAATTTTTGGGTTGGGTTTTAGTCCAAACTCACAACATATTTAATTTTTTGATTGGGGTTCTAAGTTGATCCACCAACCCAAAATTGACTTGAATCTAACACATCAACCCGAAATCGACCTAAACTTGGCTCAAATTTGTCCAAAACTTGACCAAAATAACTATTAATATTATGCATATATTAAACATGTCATGTGGATCGGGTACGAGCTAATTAGGTTGAAGAGGATCAGTTTCAAGCAAGCATTTTTTGGGTCGATTTAATTTCAGGTCAGACCTAAACCCGACCTGTGAACCCAATGACACCCTACATGACACTAGACAAGGTTCCCCCTAAGCTAACTAGCCAAACTCACTTCAACCAAAGCTAACCATAGCTGTCACCCATGCTCATGCAGCCACCACCATCGGCAAAACCTCTAGTCAGTGATCCAAATATATCATAATGTAGATCTTGACAACTAGAATACATACTGGTGACCGAATCAAAGATAATTGTTGAAGGTTAAATCCGCAACAATAATTATGAGAAATTTCAACATCATTGATTTGGCTTACACTTGAATGGATATTTTCTATGATCATCATGCCATGGTCAACCTTCACCATTTTTGCTAATCAATGCAGAAGTTGGACAAACTGTCATTTTGCTTTCAGTCGCCATCCAAAGAAAACATTAAGATCAGCTTTCAGAATTTTGACAGATTGTAGTTTGTGTTCTGCTTAGAAAAACTACAGCAATTGTAGTTCTAGTAGGACTGATGCTGTAAAGCAGACTTTTAAGATGTATGAAGCAGCTTTAAGGCCTTGTTTCTATTGAAGAAGATAAAATACCGTAATTCAAAATTTTGCGTTGATTTTTGAATCTGTTACTATCGTTGAAGTTTTTGAAAAACTTTTTCTTTTTTAGTCCTTTTCTTTCACTCAAACTGGAAGCATCCAAAAACAAGCTTGTCTGAGCCTCTGCTGACAACTGAGCTGTTTTGGCTCTTTCACCGATTGGCAGAGGCAATGATTAGAACCCTAGCAGCTACTGAAGTGATCTGTACCGGTTTATGGAACTTGGGGTAGTGCTATAGACTAATCCAAAATACCTTCTGAGCTTCAAAATTTATTTACTGGTGAAATATCTTATTTTTACAGTAGAGAGGTTAGAAATAAAATGATGGTTTACAAGATCGGCAAACTTTTGACATAATTGTTCATAAAATCTGTTACTCACATGACGCTTCACTCAACTATAAGAGACTGGAGAGATAAAGTCTATTGCAGTGGTGTTTTAAAAATGTCGGCGCAGCGGATAAGATGCCGCCGCAGCGGATAAACTGCCCCAAATGGAGCCTAAATTGTGAAGCTGAGAAGGTATTTTGGATTAGTCTATAGCACTGCTCCAAGCTCACCTTTTGAAACTGCGTTTGAGCAGTTTATCCGAAAACGTAGTTGGTTTCTTATACTAAACGTGGAACGCAGGTCGAACCCCGCGAATAAGCGGGTTATCTGGGTAAGCACAGTAGGTTGGAAATAAAATGATGGTTTACAAATGGACAAACTTTTGACATGATTGGTCATAAAATTTGTTAGTCACATGGCACTTCACTCAACTATAAGAAAGTGGAGAGATAAATTCTAATTTAGAGGTCATATCGTAGGCCTAAGATCATCAATAGTGTGGAGCCAACTGGGGCTATATAGAGTATAAATCATTCAAACAGATAACAAATTTATTGGAGGGATATAGATCAGGATTTAAGCAATTTCACTTTGCCTCATTCAGGCATGGCTCAATTTAATGTAGAAAAAGTGGAAATTAAAGAAGATTTATACAATTTTCATGTTTTGTTTGGGGCTTTCTGCGAAGTTGAAGAGGACAATTCTGTTCTTTTCTTTTAGTTTTAAAATGCGAAATCCAGTCATTGATCAGATTTTAAGGTTGATGCAAATGAGCTTCCAATACAATAATCAATGCTCGTTATGCTTAGAAAATATGAAAGTAGTAATTTTTAAGTTTTAAAAACTACTATTTTAGAATAATTACAGGAAAGTGCCATCATTTTTTGAAAATAGACCCTTGAAAATAAAATTATTATTAATTATTTCTCTTTCTTTTTTTCTTAGCTCTCAATTCAATTTTAAACCTTAGCTCTGTTCGATATATTTATAAGATCAAATTAGATTATAATTTATTTTTAATTAATTATATTTATTTAAAATAATAAATTTTATTTTAAATTTATTTAAATAACTTAAATTTTAGCCAAATATCAATTTACTTATAATCTTTAAAAATAATTATTTAATTTATGTTTTAAATTGATACTTATTTTATATTTGTAAATTTGACTCTTTATTTTAATGCCATGAAATTCTCCTTGTCTTATAAGTTATAACTATATATTATCAATACTCATTATTTTTAAAACTTTTTAAGATAATGTAAATTAATTTTATATAATTTATAAACTATTTTTTCTTTTTTTTCTCTTTTTTAAAACTAGAATGCTATCTAGATTCAAAATTATGAATCATTTTATAAGTTTGCTACTTAGAAATATTAAGCAAATTATAATCTCTATTATAAATGAAGTATTTTTTATTGTTATTTGTTGAAGTACCTTTCATATAAAAATTAATTCTTTTTACCAATGTGTTTATAAATAGATGCTTTGCATAGTTTATGTAATCCAATAATTTATTAAAGAAACCCTTGGTGTTGATTCCTTATTTATTTGTGGACTCCCACCTCAAGGACAAAGCAAGTGAAGGAGGAAAGACTGAGTTTGAGAAGAGAGTATAGGGAATTAGAGATGTGTTGTATCATTTAAGAGGGAAATGGTCCTGCCAAATGTCATTTGTACATTAACTCATATCCCTAATATGTGGGTATTTGTCCTATATGATATGCACATGTAATGATTATACTTATATCTCTAAGGATCTTTAGCAAATTAAATTTTTTTATTTACTACCTTGGGTGTATGTATTATGTTATCTTTGACATTTTATCTTTTATTGATGTCGTATTTGACCTTCTATCCTCTACACACTTTATAGGGCTGCATCTAGCATCTATTAGGTATCTTGCCTTAGAACTCTCCCAGAGGTCCAGTCACGACAAAGTCGATAGGCACCGACCTTACAAGATATGTTGAGGATGATGGCACGATCATTGGTGAGACAATGATGTCAAATGGACCATTCTCTAATTTGGCTTGTATGGATGATATTTGTTGTTCAGCCACTTTTATGCAATGACTCGTACTCAAACCATCATGCCCATTAGCCTTCTTGTATCTGGTAATTAATTGTTGGATTGAATTTTTTTATAGAATAGATCCAAAGGCCCACCAAGTCTACTTGGACTTACTGGCCCAATTGGCTGTTTTTTGTCATTCATATTTAATTATGTGTTTTATCATCCTCTCAAAAAATTGTCATGAAAAAAAAAGAGAATATATTTATTGAATCATTGTTTATATTTGATGATACTTATAATGTGATACTCTTTCGGAGTCTATATCCAGTGGTCCTTATAAATATGGTTATAGGATGGCATTGGGTTCATCTTGTTTGATTGTTGTTGTTCTTATCTTTGCACTCAGCCCTTGGTGCTTTGATTATTGTAGGGAATTCAAATGAAGAATGTTATTGGGGTGCATATCTACATCCCCACGATCAAACTCTTGAGGGGGTTATTCAAGAAGTGCAAGCAAGAAGTCAACTTCGAGAAGATGAAGAAAATAGTTAAGTGAATGAAGGTTCATCCTATGTTCCAAGGAAAAGCCATTCTAAAAGTTCGTCTAGGAATGAATGCTATCAACTTGGGTTTGTCCAGAGGTAATCATCTTGAGAATTTGAAACCTCTGAACAAGCTTTCATGGAGAAGTCAACAAATGACTTACTCGTATCTACAGGTGTTGGTGACTCGAGTCAAATACTTACATTTTCACAACTTCAGCGTGAGTGTGAGTCAGACAATATAAAATGTATGCATAAAAATACGTAATTATGAAAGAAGTATCGCATCACTTTTACTCTTTTATTTGGGCTTGCACTTTTTTACTTTTAGTGAACTCATCAGGTCAAATTCTTGAATAGAGAATGCCAACAAACTGAACTTTAATTTGGCGTTGTATCATTCTAAATGGGAAGATGAACAAGTTGAAGAAGTGGTTGGTGCACAAGTCTACCAAAAAAAAGTTGCTCAACAACTGTGAATAAGGACAAGGTGGAAACTACTGGAAAGAGCCATGAGGACCACGTAGTCATATCATTTGCTCCATTTCAATAAGATAGAGGGGACTTTTCAAGAGGGTCCCTCAAAATAGCCCTAGTTATTGGTTCGTTCAAGCTTATGCAGTAGCTAGCGGAGTTAAAACATGAAGTCGCTGAGTTGAGGGTGTCTTTAACGACCTGCATAATGAGTTGGCTAATTTCAAAGATAAATGTATAATAATTTAGGACTAGGTTGAGTCTAGTCGTTTAGCTCAATTCAAGTATGGTGGAAGATTTTACTAAAGCGACTTAATTTGTTTGGTCGAGTTATGTCATAAATCATTTTGGATATATGTATGGAAATTGTTTTCTTCTTTAGCATTGTGCATTGTACTTGTGTGTTTGTGTGACATGCTTGGATGAAGCAGTTTATAGTATACATTATCTCTCAATTAAATAAAAAAGATTTGAATTTGATGCTTTGGTGGTTTCTTAAATATAGTTTTTGAAATTGGTCCTTTTTAGTAAAAAAATTTTACCCGTAGTTTAATTACAATCTTTAGCAGGGATTTTCACTACAAATTTGTCATTATATCCATCATTTATAGACTTCTTTGTCTTTTACTCTCACAATGTCTTCCATTCTTTGCTCCGGGTACATGTTGTTCGTAGAGGCTGAAGTCCAAGGAAAATATGACTGTCGAGGACATTGCATCCGTCCAACATGATGTCTTCGATCTTCTCATTCATTTGCATTTGGCAAGCAAGAAAGAGAAGCTGATCCTCTACGATAGTGTGCTCCTGTTCTACCATGATTAGTTAAGGTTGTGGTTGGGGCTTCCTCTCTGTTAAGAGTTAGTTGATATTATAAACTTCTATTGTGATCCCGACCTAAACTATGTCGAACTCCTTAGTTGGAATAGTAACATTATTCTTGTTTAAAAGGAAAATAGAAGCGTCATGGTGGATTAACATCTCGAAGAGATTTTCACTATCATAGTTTATAATATATATATATATGTATGTATGTATATATGTATGTATGTATGAGGCCAGGATGCTAAATATCTTGATTAGAAATTGTTAGAGAACAATATATTATATCTAAGAACCCTTTCATTGAATGTTGATCAAGATGTAGCTAAAGTCGAAATGTAAAGAAAAACTCATATGAAAGACGTTAAGTAAGCTCTTTTAAATAAAGATTCAGAACATTTTTCTTGAGGTATATTCTTGAAAAGAAAAAAAGAAAAGATTTTTCTAAAATTTCACTGCAATGGCCTAATAAAAGCATGCATGCAAACATGCTTGATGCATGCCAGAAAATTCACGGCGGTAGAATAATGAATTATCGTTTTAGAGCTGTACGAGAATTTAACACACACAGATAACAGAAAAGAAGTAAGCAGGAGGAGACACCTCGAATTTTTACATGGAAAACCCTTGTAAGGGAGAAACACCACGGGGGCTAGCCCTGTTGAAATAATCCACTCTGAATAATGAGTACATAAGTCTATTCTTCTCCTATAATCTGGCTGCAGTTCTTGGTGACAGCAGATCAGAGTCGGGAGCTCCATGAGCTGATGACCACGTAGGTTGTTGTTGGCACATGGACCGTAGTGATGAGCTCATGTCCCACGACGATGACTGACGGTGTATGAATGGTGGTGATCGACGATGATTGATGACGATCGACAGTGACGATCGATAGTGGATGACGGCGATCGACGAGTGTCGACAACGGCCCGATGGTGGTCGACGACGGTCGACATGGTGCTAGACTTCAGCTCCTTCTCAGAGCTTCTAGTTCTCTTTGAAGCTTCCAGTCCCCCCTCATGTGGGGGTGGCACTCTATTTATAATGTTCTGGGTGTTATTAATGCATGAATATGAATCATTTTGATCAGACGGTCCAGAGAGTTTCCTCCGATCAAACAACGTTTAATGGACATTTGAATGCCTTAACGATGTCGAAATTGCACAATATTAGACTCGCTGGATTCATCTTGTTGAGACGCTCAATTCAACTATAAACTTGCCACATTCGACATCTATTTTACCTTCTAAATATGTTTGAAAATCTTCTAAGAGTGGTTTAATGTCTTAATTCCGGTTTGATTTAACTCGAATTGGACTAACTTTGATATCATCAGGTCCGTCTCATTGAGCCAGTCAATTTGACTATAAGTTTGATGAAATCGGAGCTCTGGATGACCCTTAATTGATGTTTGAATGTTTTTTTCTCAAGATATTGTCTCGAGATTCATGTTATGCATTGATATTCGTGCCCGAAGATGAAAATTTGTTAGTGAGGTATCAATACTTATTTTTCCCTCATTTGGAAAACAATCCACGAGGAGAGAAAGGAGAGGGATAAAATTTTCGCATTCTTCATCTTTTAGTTTTGAGGAGTTACCCTCTGGTCTTATACGTGAATCACTAAGCCCGTGCTTTTGATATCTGTGTTACCTTGAGGTTATAAAAAAATATATATGAAAATCTTACATAAGATTAAATAAATATGATGAACATGATACATCTCACTTTACGACGACCTTCAGTCATCTATTGTATAAAATGAGTATCAGTTGCTTGGAACAAACTTAAGATGTAGTTGAAGATGGTAGGTCAGAAAAGTAGAGTTTAGATGAGTTGCATCAAGGCAAATATAACCATAAAATCTAATTTGGGTATTAATTTATATGATTGTCCATAATGTATGTTTCCCATCAAATCTACATCTGCTAAATCACGTAGCCTATTTTAATAAAACCTATTTCAAGATGTGATTTGTGTACAACAAGCCAACAACTAATAGCCAATTGCCATCTAAACATTATTTTTAGTCTTAAAAGGCTCTTAATTATGTAACAAATAACTTAGCTTAACATGTTATATTTTGGTTGATTATCCACAATAGATAAGCACACTTGATTTTTCTAAGTGCCATTTCTACGTTGTGATACATAATATCACATATATAAATAAATTTTATCATTAATTATTAGTCTAAAAAGATTTGAACATGTTGTATTTTTAATCTTAATTTATTAATACTTAAATGAAAATATATGCATAAAAACATGTATTTAATTTTTTAAAAATTAAAATAGAGTCGTTTAGGATTTGAGTGGTACAAATGTAAAAGTATAAGTTTAGCTGTTAGATTTGTAAATAATTAGGATTAGATAGCATGTCACATTATAATTCTTCCTGTGTAACGTAGCTAACATAAAATAGTTGAAGTAAGAGGCTTCCCATGGCCGACACTCCCCGTCGGTATTCCTGCGATACCGCAGCGGAAACTCTAAACTGGATGAATGCCATCGCCGACTTCTTGTTACGCTTCAGATCCCTCATCGACGCCCACGTCGTCAATTTTTTTAAGGTCGTTTTCATCCCACACTTCGTTCCCAAACCCTAATCCATACCATTCCCTTAATTAGTTTCAGTTGCTTAGTTGTTTTTGGCTTCCTGCAGGATAGGCTTTGGGAGACGATAGACAACCAATGGATGGAATGCCTTAGGAAGGAGCCTGTGGAGAATCTATTGGGTATACCATCCGCGTTCGTTCAGGTTTTTTCTTTTTCTTTTTCCTTGTCCAGTGCATTGGTGAAATTCTTGAAATTCTTGTAAAAAATTCAAAATTTGATCTCCTTTTTTTCTTTTTGAAAGGAGGAGATTGATACATTGGAGAAAAAGCTCATTGAAACGAGCTTTCTGCTGTAAATAGAAATTTATTGATGCTTAACGGTCGTATATTTGTTATTTTTGCAGGAGCACTGGCCTCCTTCACTCAGGGTATTCATTGTCACATTGAGGTCTCTTGTACTCCCTAGAGAGCAGAATTTGTCAAATGCAGTAAGTTCATTGTGACGCTCGTCTCATTCTAAAGATGAATCTCTCTGTTTACATTTGTTATTGGACTGACTCTTATTACTTAATAAATGCCATAATAGCCTTCTCTTTTTTTTAATAGCTTATTGCTATTTACTTGTTGATGATTTGCATAAAAAGGCTTGTATGAAGTTTCTTGTTATCCTAGAGACTTTGAGAAAGTCACTTGTAAATGGATTGCATCTAAATGACTAATCATTATTACAGATAAATTTCTCATTATCTCAGGTTTAAATTATGTTTTTTCTCAGGTTTTTCATGTGTTTTCATAGTGTTAGCATCAATTCTAACATTTAAATCCATAATTACATCATGGATTCATGTGATCATGTTAATATAATGCATCGAACTAAATGTCACTATTTTGATCTGTTGTATGCACAAGGATATTTTTTTGTCTTGTAGCCATTTAATCCACTATCTTCTAGGATAATGTGATTTCAAAATGATCTCCAATCCAAAGTGCTTGCAAATGCTCCTCGTGTATGCTTCTTTGTTTTTTTTTTCCTTTTATAATGATGGAAATTTTAGTGTGAATTCTATTCTCATAATTGTTGTGACTTTTGAATTTTTCATACAACGAGCTTCGTTTTTGCAGTGCTTTTGTTTTAGTTCTATGGCTGTTGTGACAATCACAAAAATTATAATTTTAATGGCCAATGTGAAGACCACCTTTGTTTTTGTCCTGACTAGCTTCAACTCTTGATGGATTCCTTTCAAGGTTATATAAGGATGTCATTCTTTCTAGTGCTTTCCCTTAAAGTAATTGTGAGGTTCGTTAAGGTTAAATTTTTTTTTTTTAAAAAGTAGAGTAATTGCATGCTGTACATAGTAATTTGAGGCTTTTTAGGGTTAAAATATCTCAACCCAGAAAATACTGAATAATTGCATGCCTTAAACAGTCAACTCACATTAGTTTTCCGTACAATTTTGTTTAGTGTTAACGAAGGTGTGGAGCCCGGTCCACTGTAGCTTAGGCAAATTACTTAATTTGCTAATCACGGTTTTCTTTGCTTCCTTATCTGCTTTGCCTGTCTTGGAATTCTGCCTGAATTCTTCGAAATCAAAATCCCGCTCAGCTTTCCTGCCTCCCTGCTCACGCGGTCCCGCCATCTCTCACACGAAAATAAGCTTAAGGATCTCCTTATTTAGACCCGCTTGCTTCTTATATAAAGGCCAAGCAAAAGCCTGCCAATATATATCTCCATAACCATCTATTCGGCTGAAGGTATAGGGAAAAGAAAAAGCAAAGGTTGCTGCCCCTCCTTGATTCCTTTTCCTTTTTTTCTTGTAGCCCTCGGTTAGGAGAGAGAGAGAGAGAGAGGAAGAGAGAGGAGGAGAAAAGCTTGAAGTTCTTATTCCTTTCTTCTTCTTCTTCGGCTGTTGGCTTCTTCTTGGTGTGACTCTCGATTTAGAGAGAGAGAGAGAAGGTGAGGAGAGAGAGAGAGAGAGAATTCTTTCTTGTAAAGTCGACGTGGTCGACGGTGTAATCCTCAAATCTAATAAAATTCTCTGCAGCTCCGTAGACGTAGGCAATTTGCCGAACCACGTAAATCTTGTGTCGCCTTTTCTGATGTAATTTTTCTAGATCTATTTTTTGCTTTATTGCCGTCGTTTTTTTACAACAACTGGTATCGGAGCCCCGGTTCGGATCTGAGGAAGAATGATGGCCGGAGACAAAGTGAAGGTTTCAGGGATGGAGAAGTTCGACGACACGGATTTTAGATACTGAAGGATGCAGATAGAGGATTAACTCTATGGGAAGAAACTTCATTTTCCACTACTGGGAAAGTAACCGGAGAAGATGGAATAGATTGATTGGAATCTGTTGGATATACAGGTTTTGGGGGTTATTCAATTAACCCTATCGAGGTCCGTTGCTCACAGTGTCATAAAGGAGAGGACGACGACAGATCTTATGACAGCCTTATCAGGTATATATGAAAAGTCATCGGCGAATAACAAGGTGCACTTGATGAAAAAGTTATCCAACCTGAAGATGGCGGAAGGTGTGTCGGTTGTTCAACATTTGAATGATTTCAACACTATCACAAATCAATTATCATCCGTTGAAATTGATTTTGACGATGAGATACGTGCGTTGATATTGTTGGTTTCATTACCAAATAGCTGGGAAGCCATGAGTATAGCAGTTAGCAACTCTGCAGGTAAAACCAAACTGAAATATGATGATATTCGTGACTTAATTCTTGCTGAAGAGGTACGCAAGAAAGATTCTGGCGAGACCTCAGGTTTAAGTTCATCACTGAATGTTGATTCCAGAGGGAGATCACTGGACAAGAACTCAAACAGAGGAAGATCGAAATCAAAACATAGAAGCAAGAGAAAGTCAAAGCCTGGTCAGCAAGCAACTCGTTGGACTTGTGGCAAAACTGACTACATAAAAAGGAACTATAAAAATCCTAAGAAGACGGATAACGTCAGTGCTAACACTGTAACTGAAGAAGTACATGATACATTATTACTTGCAGTTCATAACTCTGTTGACGATTGGATACTGGATTCGGGGGCTTCTTTTCACACATCTTCCCACCGGGAGTTAATGAGAAACTATGTTTCAGGTGACTTTGGGAAAGTGTACTTGACTGATGGAGCAGCTTTAAACGTAGTGGGGATGAGATATGCTGAATTGCACTCCCTAATAGAAACAAATGAATCATGCAAAATGTTAGACACATTCTTGAACTGAAAAAGAATCTTGAACCTTATTTCTGTTGGACAACTTGATGAGTGTGGACATTCAATAGCGTTCTCTGATAACACCTGGAAGGTTACTAAAGGAGTACTGATACTGGCTCGGGGTAAGAATACTGGTACACTATATATGACAACTGGTCTAATTAACAATTTTGATACCACAGTTGCAGAGAGCACAACAGACATGTGATATTGCAGACTTAGACACATGATTCAGAGCGATATGAAAGAGCTTCAGTCCAAAGACAAGCTACCAAAACTGAAGTTCGTTGATTTCGGCATTTGTGAAAGTTGCATCATGGGGAAACAGAAGAAGGTCAGTTTCTTGAAAGGTGGCAGGGTGCCAAAGGCAGGAAAACTAGAACTGGTACACACTGACGTGTGGGGGCCTTCCCCAGTGACATCTCTTGGAGGCTCTCGCTATTACGTCACTTTCATAGATGACCATAGTAGAAAGGTATGAGTTTACTTTCTGAAGCATAAATCTGATGTATTTTCTGTGTTCAAAACTTGGAAGGCCATGGTTGAAACGGAGATAGACCTAAAACTGAAATGTTTGAGATCTGACAATGGTGATGAGTACATTGATGGTGGGTTCAAGGAGTACTGTGCAGCTAAAGGTATCAGAATGAAGAAGATAATTCCGGGGATACCACAGCAAAATGGAGTTGCAGAACGCCTGAACATGACCATCAATGAGCGTGTTAGGAGCATGAGATTGCACGCAGGACTATCAAGGACTATTGCACGCAGGACTATCACCAACCTTCTGGGCAGATGCGGTCAACACTGCAGTTTACCTTATCAACAGATGGTCATCTGTCCCATTAAACTGTAAATTACCTGAGGTCTAAAGCGGCAAAGAGGAGGTCAAATCTTCTCATTTTAAGACTTTTGGTTATCTTTCTTATGTTCTAATCAATCCTGATGCATATAGCAGGTTTGAGGCTAAGTCAAAGAAATTTTATTTCATTGGCTATGGGACGTAACATTTGGTTATCGTTTCTGGGATGATCAGGATCGGAAGATTATCAGAAGCAGAAATGTGATTTTTAATGAGAAGATGATGTACAAGGACAAGACCAATACAAATTCTGGAGTAGCTTCTCAGGAGTCAGAGTTTGTGGAGTTCGATGATCTACCAGAGGACACAGAGCAGGACGAAGATGGGAATGAGGAGGAGAATGAGTCCCGGGCACCAATTCCTATTATTCCGCAGGCAGGTCCAGAGTCATTCACTACTCCAGTCGCCGTTCGGAGGTCAGTTAGGAGCAGACATTTGCTGCAGCGTTACTCACCAACTTTAAATTACATATTGCTAACAGATAGTGGAGAACCACAAAGTTATGAAGAAACCTTAGCAGATGAAAATTCCAGCAAGTGGGAGCTGACAATGAAGGAGGAGATGGATTCCCTGCTGAGAAATCAGACATGAGATCTAACAGAACTTCCCCCGGGGAAGAAGACATTGCACAACAAGTGGGTGTATTGGGTAAAGACTGAGCCTGATGGTAGTAAAAGGTACAAGTCCAAACTTGTTGCAGAAGGCTTTCAACAGAAGCATGACATTGATTACTCTGAGATCTTTTCTCCTGTGGTAAAACTCACAACCATCAGGATGGTCCTGGCTATGGTTGTTACCGAAGATCTATTCCTGGAGCAATTAGATGTGAAAACAGCTTTTCTTCATGGAGACCTTGAAAAAGACATTTATATGCACCAGCCTAAAGGGTTTGTGGTATAAGGAAAAAAAGATTTAGTTTGTAGACTGAAGAAGACCTTGTATGGTCTGAAGCAAACTCCTAGACAATGGTACACAAAGTGATAATTTCATGCAAAATGTTGGATACGGCAGATGTCAGACAGATCACTGTTGCTATGTCAGGTACTTTGACCATTCCTATATCATCCTGTTGTTGTATGTGGATGATATGCTTATTGCAGGGGCCAACATTTATGAGATCAATAATCTGAAGAATCAGATGTCAAAGCACTTTGCAATGAAGGATTTGGGAGCGACAACACAAATCCTTGGCATGAGGATTGTTAGAGATCGAGTCAAAGGCACCTTGAGACTTTCACAGACTAAATACGTGAAAAAGGTGCTTAGCAGGTTCAATATGAACAAGGCCAAGCCAGTTGGCACACCCTTAGGCAGTCACTTCAGACTCAACAAAAATCAATCACCCAAGTCAGAGGAGGAACAAAACTACATGAGTAAGGTTTCTTACGCTTCAACTATTGGTTCACTCATGTATGCTATGATCTGTACCAGACCGGATATCCCATGCAGTGAGAGTTGTGAGCAGATACATGAGTAATCCAGGGAATGAACATTGAGAAGCTGTGAAGTGGATTTTAAGATACCTAAAAGGCTCTTCAGAAACCTGTTTGTGTTTCTCATGAAAGAGCCTAGAGGTACAGGGTTATGTTGATGCAGATTTAGCTGGAGACATTGACAGTAGGAAGAGTACTACAGGTTATGTTTATACTCTTGGCGGTACTGCAGTGGCATGGGACTCTAATCTACGGAAGACAGTTTCTTTGTCCACTACAGAGGCTCAGCTACAGAGGCTGAGTATGTTGCAGTGTCAGAGGCTGCTAAGGAGATGATATGGCTGCAGAGTTTCTTGACGGAATTGGGTAAGGAGGTTCAGAAATGCACTCTCTACAGTGATAGCCAAAGCGTCATATTCCTAGCTAGAAATCCAACATTTCAACATTTCAATCCAGGACCAAACCAGGACCAAACACATTCAGATCATATATCACTTTATTCGATCATTGTTAGATGACAGTCAGTTACTATTTGAGAAAATTTGTGGAAGCCAAAATCCTGCTGATATGCTGAACAAAGGCGTTACACTTGAGAAACTGAAGTTCTGCTCGACTTCAGTTGATCTTCTAGCTTGAAGATAGGTGTTTTGAGTTGTAGAGGTGGAGGATATCACATTTGAGGAAAAAAAGCGGTGCAGCCAGTGGATGATGCAATCAGTGTCTCAGTCTCCAAGTGAGAGAATTGTTAACGAAGGTGTGGAGCCTGGTCCACTGTAGCTTAGGCAAATTACTTAATTTGCTAATCACGGTTTTCTTTGCTTCCTTATCTGCTTTGTCTGTTTTGGAATCCTGCCTGAATTCTTCGAAATCAAAATCCCGCTCAGCTTTCCCGCCTCCCTGCTCACACGGTCCCGCCATCTCTCACGCGGAAATAAGCTTAAGGATCTTATTTAGACCCGCTTGCTTCTTATATAAAGACCAAGCAAAAGCCTGCCAATATATATCTCCATAACCATCTATTCGGCTGAAGGTACAGGGAAAAGAAAAAGCAAAGGTTTCTGACCCTCCTTGATTCCTTTTCATTTCTTCTTGTAGCCCTCGGTTACGAGAGAGAGAGGGAGAGGGAGAGAGAGAGAGAGAGAGAGATAGAGAGAGAGAGAGAGAGAGAGAGAGAGAGAGGAGAAAAACTTGAAGTTCTTATTCTTTTCTTTTTCTTCGGCTGTTGGCTTCTTCTTGGTGTGACTCTCGATTTAGCGAGAGAGAGAAGATGAGGAGAGAGGGAGAATTCTTTCTTGTAAAGTCGACGTGGTCGACGGTGTAATCCTCAAATCTAATAAAATTCTCTGCAGCTCCGTGGACGTAGGCAATTTGCCGAACCACGTAAATCTTGTGTCGCTTTTTCTGGTGTAATTTTTCTAGATCTGTTTTTCGCTTTATTGCCTTCATTTTTTTACAACAGTTTAGATGATGTATTTCTTTTTCCTTTATATTCAAATTCATTTCTAGATTTTTGGTTGGTTGGTAATGTTGTTGCTAATTAATGTGCAACAACTATTGTTGGCTTTTTCATTGTTGAAAATTTACTTGCTGCTAATCTTATTTCCCTTTTGTAGTATATGCATGTGTTAAGCATATGCTTTTATTTAATAATGTAAGCTTACACGAATTTTGCAAATGCTTATACTTCAAAACTAATAAATAAATAAATAAATAATAAATTAATTAATTTGCAATTGTTTCTGTATCTTTGATTATCCATGATGGTTTCTATTTTAATATGTTTGAATTTTAACTTCAAATGCTTATTTATTTTCCTTCCTTTGTTGGAGATTTCTAAATAAATCTGTTGGATATTATATTTGTAATTTTGATTTTCACTATTTGTACCTTCTCTTTCGCAGATGTTGGAAAATTTCCGCGCAGCTTCAATTGGCAGCGTTCTCTCTCAAGGAATGAATTCAAAGAAAAGACATGAAGTATGTAAAATGAGGCATCATCTACCTCTGTTGTTTATCTTTCGCCTTTAGTTTCCCTTTCACATGTTTTAAATAGCTTTTATGCTTGGTTGCAAGTGGATTTACGATTCACTTTCTTATATGTTGCAAGTCAGATAATTTTCTGTAAAGACTGTATTTTGTTGTGCAAACAGGTAGAAATACTAGCTGCTGCTGTCAACACTGTTGCTCATTGTGTTAATTCTCAGAAGGTCATTGATGTTGGTTCAGGGCAGGTTTCAAATTTTTTTTTAAAATTCACATTTAAAATATTTATGGAGTGAAAATCATTTGATATTTCTTTGCCACACTTTTTCATTCAATGGGAATGCATTTCATTCTTGATTTCATTAGGCTTCCACTATCAGACTTTCCATTTTAAACAAGTAGAGTTTGTTTGGAAGCCAAAAATAAGTTTAGCGCTAGTTATTCTCACATACTAGCTTGGAGCTACTCATCTTTTTTAAAATTTCAGTATTTTGTTTTGAGTTACTGTATTTGGTAATTGTGCTTTCAGGGTTACCTTGCTCAAGTTTTATCATTTGAGTATCAGCTTTCTGTGGTAGCAATTGATTCTTCTTTACACCATTCATCTGTCACGAGTGCCCGAGCAAATAGAATTAGGAAGCATTATGCAGCCAAACTGCATGAACTTCAGCATGGCAAGTAATTTGTTAAAAAATTGTAGATTTTTATTTCTTTTTACATTTTTATGTTTTTTTTTTATTTCTATGACTTCATTTGCTTCTCTATGCAGGAGATGGACTTGTAAAGATTCCTCAGACTGTCACTTGCCAAGTACTTTCTGGTGAATTTCTTGCAGCTTTAAGCATTGGGACGTCAGAATGTCAGAAACAAGCCAATGACATAAGGTGTAGCGTACAAACCAGCTCCCTCAGAAGTTCAGAATCTGATGTATGTAAAGCTGCTATACTTTCTAAAAATGGGAATACAGGATTTCTAGTTCTTGCTGGGCTTCATGCTTGCGGAGATTTGTCGGTAAACATGCTAAGGTTTATTTTGTTGATTTTTTTTTTCTCCTAGTTAAACTGTTCTGTTTCATTTCACAGTTTTATTACTTGTCATTTTCTTCTAGTTTTTAGTTCTTTGATTATAGACTCATTTTTGAATGAAAATACATTAACAGAGCATTTGTTGATTGTGAGCAAGTGAAAGCTCTTATTTGTGTTGGTTGTTGTTACAACCTACTGTCTGAAGAAAATTCTGAGAAGGCTAGCTTGCTATCTGGTTTTCCATTGAGCAATGGTGCCAAATTGTCTGGGTTAACCCTTGGAAAAAATGCACGCGATCTTGCTTGTCAGGTAGGTATTTTACATTCTGTTATACGCCTAGATGCATCATTTCTAATTAGTTTCATCTAAATGTAAGATTCAATAGCTTAACTGGGAAGGCCTCTATCATACTGAGTAGAAGCAGAGAAGTAGAATACCATGAATAAGTAACTAGACTTTCCATTAATTCACATTGTCACTATTGGGGTATATAGATGTGGAGAAGAATACACTATGGAGAGCGAATAATGTTGCATTTTGTATTGTATGAGAGATAAGAGATGACTATGAGGCAGTTAAGAGAAAGAGATTTTGTTTTGTTTGAGTAGCTAAGATAATTTATAGGCTCTTTAAGGTGAACTGTTTATATCGTTTTTGTATTGGTAGTGATTGTACCATTTGCTAATTCCTGTAGATATTGTCGGTGCTGTTATTACCTTTTCTCAAGTTGGTAATTCGAGGTTGGATTGTCAACTTATCACATAGCTTCTGGAATCAAATGGTAGAGAGTGTTGCCAGGATAAGAGAAATATCCATTATTGATTTTCTCTCATGAGCATCATGACCAAAGGAAAATATGTTGAGATTTTCATACCTATTTTATACTGTTTTTGATGATATTGCACTTTAAAGAAATGTATTTTTGATGTTTTGATGCAGAAATAAGGAATTAGAGTCATTGGAACAAAAAGATGCAAAAAGGAGCAAATTTGGAGCGAAATGTGAAAATTTGAACTAGGCCGCCGACGGCGCCCTCGATGCCGCCGACGGCGCCCTCGATGCCGCCGACGGTGGGTTTTTCTCGAGATTCCAAACAAAATAAATACAGAGGAGCGCCGATGATGCCCTCGAGGCCGCTGACGGCAAGACCGGTGAGATGACGATTTCTTGTGTTCGAGTGGCGGTTTTTGACGGTTTTTGGGCGGGAATAGTCTTTTTAAACTCAAAAATTCAAATTCTAATTCATATTTTCCCTCCAAA